GGTTTTAACGTGGCGGGACCCAAACCCAGCGCACGCGAAGTTTTACGCCTTCTCACTTTAGCTCGCTCCCAAACGGGTGTTTGGTTGCTACCCAGAGGATACGTGGATATAAATATCCGGACGTTGTGAGCTGCGATTTGAACCGTACGCAAAAGAATCGCTTCTGGCCACTCCCAGGTGAATGGCAGTCAAAAGTTTTCCACTTCTGCGCACGGAACCATCCTCCGAGTAAATTAGCTTGCTTAAATTTCGAAATATCGAAGTTTCAAGCATTTCTGAAATTTACGGTTATATGAAAAGTGGACGTAATTTTAGTCCGATTTCACTAATTTTCAACGTTTTGCTTTTATGTGGAAACGCCCATTTTCCAATATTGTATAATTAACGTATGTTTTGCTAAAGAATTATTGCAAACATCAATTTTGAATAAATAGGTCAGTATTTACCGTTTTATCGAAAATTTCGTATCACCGTTATATGGAATGTGGGCGTGGTTATTGTCCGATTTTAAAAATTTTCAGCCGTTTCTTATGTCATACCACGGCCAACAACTGTGCCAAGTTTGGGAGAAATTGGAATAGCGGTTACTAAGATATGTATACACATGTAATCATAAGTGACGAAGCTACGCCCATTTTCCAAAAATTTATAAAATTCTTATTTTCCGTCTAAAAGTCATTGTCAATATCAATTTTGAGTGAAAAAGCATATGTAGCTGGGTAAGGCTTCCTCAAGTGGGCACCGAATTTACCAACATGCATATTTTTCAATGTTTTATTATTTTTTCGCAGGCATGTGAAATTCGAGCATGAGAAATAAAAGTGGAACGATTGAAACGTGCGTTTCTTTCTTGCGCAAGAAGTCAACACGGATTGGGCGCGATTAGGGACACGAATTTCGATACGATACGATACCATATCGATACTTTTGGCATTCGATACCGATATTTTCTACTCGATAGTTTTAAAACGATATTTTCTGGAATCGAGTACTAAAACCCTAGTATCGCATCGAATGTCATAAACTCACATTACAAGAATAATGTTATTAACAACTCAACCCAATATTACCGGCGAGAGTTTTTCTACGCACGCACGCAAGTTTTTCTCATTTGATAAACCGAAATCAATTTGCGTGCGTGATTGCTCAGAGTTGCATTTCTGTCAAATTTAAAAAAAGTTTGCTGAGAAAAATTTGAATCCAAAATTGGCGCCAAAATGCCAATTGAGCATAAACCTCAAATCGAAATGTCACGCAAGACAAATCTTGGAATTTGAGTTAGCTTTTTACGCACGCATATTAAGTTGGCCTGTAACAATTCTTCCCGATATAAATTGGGCTTTAAAGAGCAGAAATCTGAGCTATAGTTAGAATTGCATGCGGTGGGATTTGAACCCGCGGCCTTGGTGTTTTAAGTCAACACCTCAATTTCTACGTTTTGAAATAACTTCTCCTCCGATTTGTCGCGTGCGCCTTAATGTTGTGGCACAAAGGAGGTTCCTTCAGTTTTATGTCGACTCTGAACGGCGATTGTAGTTTATGGCAAGCTGTTTTTCCTTTTCAAGGCTTGCGCACTTTTAACCACTGCACCACAACGGCGTAAATGCGAGACCTATATTCAGACAAAATTTTTTGGTTTTTGGTATCGATATCTAGAATATCGAGGCTTTTTATTCCGATATTAATGGGTACCCGATATTTTTAAAGCGATGCTTTAAATGAGTACCATATCGATACTTTCGGTTCGATATCCCTAGGCGCGATCCAGCCACGCGAGTCGGGCCCGCACGCTGGCAATTAAAAATTCATTCCGATCAAACTATATCGAAATGCACGCATTTTTTTCATAGATAAATGCAGAAATGTTTATTACATAAGTTATTGTTAAGAATTTTCCTCCATGAAGTGCAGAAATTGCTTAAAAGTTCAATTTTTCATAAAAAAATTATTGAAAAGCAAAAAAAATATTTTTGTAACGCAAATAATTTCATTGTATAAATTAATGTTTCTTAAATCTTAAAATTAAAATGTCCAAAACAGTGCAAAAATTTTCAATTGTTGATTAAAAAAAAACTATTGGAATTTTGCAACAAAAATTACACAGTGTACTGTTCGACTACAAAACTCGGCGCTGCCTGAATATCATTGAAAAATATTAATGTTGGTAAATTCGGTACCCACTGGAGGAACCCTTACTCAGCTACAAAAATATAGCAGTTTTCGTGTTTCTGAAAACCACCGTTATATGGGAGGTAGGCGTGGTTATTGTACGATTTTTCTTATTCTCAATACCATCCGTCGTACGCCGAGAAGAAGGACACATACAAAGTTTTGTTAAGATGTCTCAATTTTTACTGAGTTATCGTGTGCACAGACGGACAGACGGACGGACAAACAGTTACCGCTTAATCGATTTCTTTTTTCATTCTGATCATTTATGTATACATTTATCTATATCTATCTCGATTAGTTTTGGCTGTTACAAACTGCCGTTATGTGAACAAAGTTATAATACCCTTGTGCACAAGTGCGTTTGGGTAGAAAAATTGAAATATCAGTCTTAGAAAAATCAGCAAAATGGATTTTATTACTAAACTAACTAAACATTAATCTCCAACTTACCGAATAGTGTAAAACAGGAACACAGGAATATCCACTTGACTCCAATAGCGGCAACTGCGCTTGTTAACATACTACTTTCACTGCTGTATGTGAAATGGTTGAATACTTTTGTTTTCGTCATTCGTATTGGCATAACGATTCGTTTCCTTTTTTGTACATAAGTATTTTCTAAAACTTATAGTACACAAAGATCGTATTCAATAAAAATTCAACAATTACTGTTTTGCTGCTTTTGCTTGTTTGACTGCTGTCACGTTTTCACCCATACACACAGGTTCTTCTTTCAATTTGCGTTACATTAAAATTGCTTTATATTTTCGATTGAAATTCTAGATAAAACAAATACTTGTGTTAAATATATTATGAAGGTACATATATATTGATTATCTACCTTCTAAACTTACTATGAACATATGTACATACATAGGTTTCATTGTATTGTATGCAGGCAAAATTCTGTAAAATATTTCATTCTTTATTTTGTTTACGCTAAAGCTGGTGCATATTCTACATTGGATTGGTTTATTTTATTGGCATATAATTTTGAAGCACACTATTTCTCATTGCAAGTTTTTTCGTCATCGCTTAATGTTGGTTGTTCTTGCAAATATGTAATTGCATTTGTATACAAACTTATTCCCTTATCTTTGGTTTAGCAGTACCCAATATTTTTACTGAAGCGAAGTCCATTTTTTATCACTGAATACATTTTTTCTGAAAAAGACAAATAAAATATTTTGAATTACTGAAGGAAGATTAACCTTAAGGAAGATTTTGCATAGTCTTAAGTATTGACAAAATTTAAAAGCTTTCATAAGGCCATACCAAGGGCGCATCCAGGATCTAATATAGTGTGGGTGGGAAGAGGGGAATGTTAATATACCAATAAATAAATTATAAATTTTTTTTTCAATCATTTTTGTGCTGGTAACAGACGCCTTGATTTCCCGATTCTTGCGTTCCCGTTCGCGCACTCTGGGCACTGTGAGCAGGCACCCTGAAATTGTGCATATGGAAACAGTGCAGACGAAATAATGCATATGAGAAAAACCAAAATAATGCATACGAAAAAAAACGAAATAATGCATATATGCACATTTTCGGTTGAAACCCGAAATAATGCATATGAAAAAAGCCGAAATAATACATATATGCAAAGTTTCGGTTGATAACCTCAATAATGCATATGAGAAAAAACCGAAATTATCCATATGCACACTTTCGTTTGAAAACCGAAATAATGCATATGAAAAAAACGAAGTAATGCATACACGCGCAGTTTCGACTCAAAATCGAAGTAATGCATATGAGAAAAAATCGAAATTATGAATATGCACATTTTCGTTTGAAAACCGAAATAATGCTTATGTGAAAAACGAAGTAATGCATACATGCACAGTTTCGGTTGAAAAAAACGAAGTAATGCATACATGCACACTTTCGGTTCAAAACCGAAATAATGCATATGGAAAAAACGCAGTAATGCATACATGCACCTTTTCGGTTCAAAAACGAAATAATGCATACATGCACAGCTTCGGTTGAAAACCGAAATACAGTAAAACCCGCTTAAGTACCTCACGAAAAATGTCAGCTTTTTGAGGTTTTTAGGCGGGTTGGGTACTTAAAACATAAGCGAACATAATTTGTGATGTATGACACATTCTCAGTTTCCATATGCGCAATTCCGGTGCCCCCTGAGAGCAATCCATGTGCGAGTTGCTGTAACCAACTGGTGTGAAGCCCTGCAGGCGGATTCCAATATTTGCTATTGCTAGCTTTGATCGCCAAAAACCTCCAAAATAATAGCAGACGCCCCTAACAACACGCAACAACTAGTTAATTGCCCGCCACACTGGCAGATATGGCTGATCACGCATTGCATGTGTTACTCTTCCATGTTGTATACTTGCAGGCCCTACTGCTTTTCATTTAGAGAATTTTAGCGACGAAAATTTAGCGTAGCGATTGTCAGAATTCCACTGCTGGTTCACGGCAGAAAGAAAGTAGGCTTCGGTGGGGCCACTACGTCTGAATTCTGCGACATCTTTTCGAAAGAAGGTGAGGGTCTTTGAACAAGCAACTCGCTATATAAACGCGTATTCAAATAAAAAAATTAAGTTTTTGAAAGTTTACAAATTTGTTGACTTCTATACTCATATATGTAGTTTCCGCTCAATAAAACACTTAGTTTGTGTTTAATATTAATTATAAATTATTATTCATGAATTGTTTAAAATCTGTACAACGCCGGTGCACTTAAAGGTAGCTACGGTCTGTTCGGTCGCGCGGTTCAAAACTTATGCCGTCAGTTCGTTTTAATTCCTTTGTCCTCGTGCGTTTCGTCTATTTCGTCAACAGTCTTCGTTCAGTCAGTAGGGTTGCCAGGTGGTGTTCCCACATTCGGCCTTCCTGGCTTATCGTTCGGCTCGAACGATGGGTTCCACCCCTTCATGTATTCTACGACGGAGGTTGTGCGCCGAGGTCCCTCACATTCGCCTACCTTCTCAACTTCATACCGATCATGGGCCAATATTTTCGAGATCTTGTACGGACCAAAATATTTTGGTCTCAACCTTAGCCCGCTACCATATTGGGTGCGTCTAATTGCTACCAGGTCATTGAGTCGATACTTAGTGGACTCTTTCCTCTTTGCATAAAAATTGCGCTTGTTCTCCTTCTGTATCAACGCGATGTTTTTTTTAGCTTGTTGGCGTGTCAATTCGCGTTCTGCGTCTAAATCGTCTACAGCCACGTTTTCTACTAACTCATGAAACTCTGGTAACCCCGTGACTCTCACGTCAACCCCTGTCAAAACCCTAAAGGGTGAATACCTGGTACTACGCGTTGGTGTGCTATTGATAACCTGCTGTACCTTATCTACATGCCTATACCAATTCCCAGGTGCCTCACGACATAACTTTGAAACCATAGGGACGACTATTCGGTGCATCCGCTCCACTTGTCCATTGCCCCGCGGAACACCCGTCGCAATCAATAAGTGTTCTCTGCCCTCTTTCTCACAGTACCCTTTGAAGAGATTACCCGTGAACGCAGCACCCCTGTCTGTGATAATGCGCCTAGGGTTTCCAAAAGTAGCTGATTGTTTTGAGAGACGATAAATAACTTCCTCAACTCCAGTATTTTTTGTTGGGTACAACCAAACGAATTTAGAACAAGTAATTTTTAGCAAAAAAATCGACTTCAACTCTCATATAAAAATAAAAATATATATATATATCTCATGATCCACTGATCGGATCTTAACCAGATTAGTATGGGACAACTGAGACACTACCTTTCCGATGCAAAAATCGGAAATCGGTTGACGTGATCCAAAGTTATGCGGTAACATACATAAAAAAAATAAATAAAAAAATATTACGACGAACTGATAACCTCCTCCTTTTTTGGAAGTCAGTTAAAAAGCATCCACCACCCACCATATAGTTGTATGCCTTCTTCGTTTGTTACATTTGTCCTACGTGATCAATATGAAGGGTGCTTAATGGCCTATCTTCTTTGTCTATAGGGTTCAGAAACCCTTCCTTCCTACCTGCTTTAGCATCTGTTACAATGCATTCGACACAACTTCTTACGATTTTTCCCACTTTCGAATTCAGCTGTGGGATGAAAAAGGTCTTTTCAACGGCTTCTTGGGTCTTCTTTACCGAGAAGTGTCCCTGCAGTGAAGGCCCTTTTACAGGATCCTTGTACAAAAACCCATGTTTCACGTTATAATTTTCGTACGTATCCTTTTCTAAAACCTTACAAACTGCCCAAATCCAATCGTCCTGCAGTTGTGCCTGCTTCAACCGATGAATCAGCGAATCCTCTAACACGATCATTTTCGATCCACTTCGGTGTTCTATTTCATAATCGAAATCTTGAAACAGCACTGCCCAGCGAAACACTCTTAACGGAATATCTCTCTTCCGCATTGTCATTGCAAACGCGTTGCAGTCTGTCACAATCTTGAATCGTATCCCCAACAAATACACCCTCGACTTCTTCAGTGCCTCAACTATGGCTAACACCTCTAATTCGTACGAGTGGTACTTTTCTTCTGCTGGCTTAGTCTTGCGACCCATAAACTGAATGGGGTGAAAATGTTGGTCCTCGCTATACTTTTGCATGAGTACGGCTCCATAGCCGTGCATTGATGCATCCGTGTGTACTTTAGTTATAGCCTTTGGGTTGTACAACCTCAAAACTAGGAGCGCTAACCAATGCACCTATTAACTGCTGAAAGGCCACCTGCTGTTCTTCCTTAAAAACAAACTTTGCATCTTTGCGCAAGAGGTCAGCCAGTGGTTTGGCGATCACTGCCTATCCCTCAAACAACCGACGAAAATACGAAGTAAGACCAAAAAATCTCTGTACCGCTTTTTTGTCGGATGGTTTTGTAAAATTCTTGACCGCCTGAGTCTTTGCTTCTAGTATTGTTCTCCAAAACATAACCTAGAAACTCATCTTTGGTTTTCAGGAATTGGCATGTTTTCCATGTAATACGAAGATTATACTCGGCCGCTCTACCTAAAACAACTTTCAACTTCTCTAGACCCTGATCTACATCCATGGAAGGAATTATGAGATCATCCATATAAGTCACTACAATGCCACTCGCCACTAAGTCCCTAAATACTGCGAAGATGTACCGCGTAAATACCGCTGGAGAATTGCAAATACCGAAAGGAACGTACTTGAATTCGTACTGGCTTTGGTGGGTCACGAAGGAAGAGTATTTCCTCGAACTTGCCTCAATAGGTACATGGAAAAATCCGTTCTTTAAATCTAGATTAGTAAATACCCGCGCACCTTTCACCCTCTCGATAGCGTCATCCATGAGTGGCATCGGAAAGTTGTCCCTCATAATCCTCTCGTTAAGTCATCTATAGTCGCAGCAAAGCCTCTTGCTACCATCCTTCTTTGCTACGAGGACAATTGGCGACGCATATTCAGAAGAACTAGGTTGAATGATACCATCTTCTAACCATTCCTCGATCTGTCTATCAACTATGCACCTATCCGAATAAGACATGCGCCTTGGACCTTGGTATACTGGAGTATCATCAGTCACGCAAATCTTCATGGTAACTGGAGAGTCGTATTGTTTGGAAGGTGAATAAAGTTCAACAATTGTCTTTACCTCATTTCTGTGCATCTGCGTACAATGTGACAAATCTACTTCAAATTTATCTCCTGATACAGGCTCCGCTGCCAAACATAAATCTTTAAATTCCTCAACAAGCTCTATTTTAGTTTCGTACCCCTGATATTCGTCACTCGAACGGGATTTGTCTACGCCCTTGCTCTTCAATTCCACCTTATCTTCCGTCACAACCAAATCTACCTGCTTTTAAACATTGTTACCGATGATTGCCTGATAAATAATGTCACGACCACGCACAACATGGAAAGTAATGTCTAACTTGATGCCATCCCCTTGCATCTTAATTACAAAACTACCCATCGTATTCAAAATACTGTGGCCTATGCCTTTTAACTGATGTCTATCCTTAGACAGTTCAATCTCTCCTAGCATCATCAATACATCGTAACGCATAAGACACAAATTACAACCCGTGTCTAACAACGATGAAAAAGTAAAATGGTTAATACACAAGTCTTTAAATATTACGCAGCCAATGGACGATCTTCGTATCGCCTCCATCGTATTTACCCTACCACCTTCTTTTCACTGTGCTTT